TTATTATTATTATTATTATTATTATTATTATTTCTGGACAAAATCGGTTTTGGCCACACACAAAAAAAAAAAAAAGACTTAGGCTGTTGTTTTTGGAAAGTGACGTTATGGAGTCGTATAATGGCTGCAAAGCCTCCATGCAAACTCGAACCCTATCCGGTTCTGCGGAACGGGTCCCGGTTCAGGACCCTCGGGGGCTCGTGGAGTTCCGTTCATTTGTTCCCTGAAATGCCACTAGATGTCACACAATCAAACCGTGAGCTGCGGCTGACCGTGAAAGGGAAACCCTCCTTCCGTCTCATTTAAATCCCGAACCGCTCCAGTTGTAGTTCTGAAATGTGATCACGTCCAAAACTGGGCCGACGTTCTTTCTTCTTCTTTTTCTTTTTCAATTCCTACCTACTACGAGGAGTAAAGAAAAAAAAAACTATCATTTGTTGATAACCCGTGCGTCATCGGCTCGACCGGCGGGCAGCGGCGGAGACCACTGCGTCTCCGTCGTGCGTCAGAGCAACACCGGACTAAAAAAAAAAAAAAAAAAAACGGGTCAATAAGTGCACTCACCGAACCGGCGATTAGCGCATTAATTGAGCTCCCGCAGCCAATCAATCGGTCGCGACCCTCGCGTGACCCCCCTCCATCCCCACCCGTCCACCACCACCTACCACCACCTACCACCGGAGTGACGCGTCTCGCGGTCGCGGATGAGAGAGTGTGAGGCGGCGGCGGCGGTGTTCGGCGGGGAGGAGAGGAGATGCGCATATCTGCAGGTTCTCTAGCGCGGTCGTAAAACGAGATCCGGAGCCATGCCCGGAGTGACCAAGTACAATTTAGTGGATGACGCGCACGATCTGAGGGTCCCCATGCACAACGAGGAGGTGTTTAATCATGGGGTCTGCTTCGAGGCAAAGGTAAGGACCCTCTGCAACAAATAGGATTTTTTTTTTTTTTTATGATTTAAGCTCCGAGGATGGTATGGCTGTTGTTACTTCTATATGTCCATCACTTTATTTTCTTGTTGACACGTTTATTGTTGTCCAGACCTCATTTTAACCAGGTTTGATCATCTCTCCACTAACTGGATAATATTTATCCACTTTAAGATTGCAGATAGATTTATTTTTTCTGACATGTTTCAATATCAGAAACACTAAATGCAACAAATTCTGTTTTCTAGAGTTTTTGCTCCACTGTTTTGTGAGTTTTACTTGTTTTTATGGTGATATTTTTGCTTCAGTTGCCCCATTTTTTGTATAAAAATTCTATTTGTTTAAAGCAGCTCTTTAAATGTTATTGCATGCCGTAGACTATTGTCACCTTCCTAAGATAATGGCGTAAGTCTTTTTTTTTGTTGTTGACAAAAGGGATTTTGAAGGGGGAAAAAAATCAACACCTCATATCCTGCCAGAAGATGATTTAGGGAATAAATAAATAAATAAATAGAAAATAAAAAATTGTTTTGGCAAAAAATGTCTTAGGCCATTATTTTTTTTAAATTTTTTTTTAAAGTTTGATATATTTAAAATGAGCCAACAGTGTCAGAGCTGATCATTTCACCTACAGTTCCAGAAGTTTACATAACCTCAACGACATAAGCGACACGTGAATTCTGGGTTTTCAGTTCTGCCTCTCCAGAGTGGAACGATATCACAACATTTAAAAACAAGGCTGAGGTCTGAAGTTAATGAACGTTGTCTCTAATCTACCGAGTGCTGGAGGTTTCTTCTGGGGGCAGACAGGGTCCATACGAGCGGAAAATCATAATTATCATAATTAACAGAAATAAAGGCCTGAGAACATCAGTCTGTGCCTAATTAGTTAATTGCTTAAGTGTGTTTCGACAAGTTCAGGGGAACCACACACTTAGAGCTGCCATCAACATGATTTCAGCATAATTCTGGGTTACAAATATGAGTTCTTGTAAGAATTTCAATGGGTTGATTTACTGTAAGCCTGGCTTCTGAGAACAGTCTGTATATTTTCAGTAACTTTACAGTTGTGGAATATTAATGGCAGCTTGTAGGGACCCACCGATTAATTCAGTCCTCATATCTTTCATTTTGGGTGATCGACTGATACTTGCAAAAAACAATTTTGTTTGGCCCATGAAGTCAAGAAAGGTTAAAAATTTGGCCAACAAACCAGAAAACATTGATGACCCCAAAACTGTGGAAATTGTCTTTTTTATTTGACCTTTTTTGTTTGGACACCACTGATCCAAAGGTGTGACTGAAGTCTTTCTAAAAATGCCACTTGGGAGGTTTTGAATAAAACATATTTACAAACAAACCCATCATCCAAAATGTATATAGATTTTTATTTTATTTTTTTTACAGTTTTGACATAGTCACTGCTCTGAATCTGTTGGTTTTTTTTTGACAAATGAAATTTTTTTGAGTCTGTAATCTCCAGCTAAGGACTAATCAATTACTCAGTTAGTTGACGAATATTTCAATATCAGATTAGTACAATTAATCGCTTCAAGCCTAGTGTGAAATGAACCTAACACTAACAACCTGCCAAAACCCAAAGTAATCCTTTTGAACTCTTGTCTTGCAGTACATCGGCAGCTTGGAGGTGGGTCGCCCCGGCAGCCGGATGGAGATAGTCGCCGCGATGAGGCGAATCAGAGTAAGAACATGTGACTTCATTGAAACAGATGCTATATTTAAACCTGGTGACAATAGCCCCTCTGAATCTTTAACAAGCTGTCAGAGTCACTCATGCTGTCACACCGAACACATCTCCATCCCCGACTGTCTGTTTTCGGAAGCGTCCACGCCACGTTGCCTTCACCTACAGATCGTCTTCACCCACAGATCGTTTCCCCCCATCCCCCCCACCCCCTTCAGTGCACGGCACACATCGGTGAGGTTCAGCGCCTTGTCACTAGCAGTTTCAATCCTGTGATGACATACGGGGAACGAAAGAGGGAGGAAAAAAAAAACCCTCTGAACATTCTCCTGCACAAGACGAGGTCGCCCAAACACGAAGCACTGCAGTGGCACACAGCAGCACAGAGTGCAGAGGATTTGGCTGCTTTGCTTGTCAGCTGTTGGATCTAATCTAACAACAGAGTTGTTGTGTCAGCCTGAGGTCAGCCTCGTCCCCACTGACACCCGGGGAAAAACTTAATCCCGATCCCTCGCCATCAGCTCCTCGTAATGGCCATTTTGGTCTCCTCGCAAAGATTTACTGTTGCAACGTCGCAGACTTTTTAGGAGACGTTATTAACACCGTGCTGAAGATTTGATGTCAGACGAACTCAATGCGGATAATAAAGGAAGCCACACATTGCTCAGCACAATCCAAATACTGAAGAGCTTTTTGGCTCAACATGGATTTTTCCGTCTGAGTTGGAAATAAACAAAGTTTAATTAAATACTTGGATTTTGTGCCTTTTTATCTAAAGGCAAACAGAAGAAAAATGTTTCCTGATGCTGTGACACAATTAATCAAATGTGGCTGAGAAAGAACAAAAGGAAGACATGAAAATGCAGGAAGTAACTG